CATTTTTATGGAGTGTCATTCTTCCCCAGCTTCCTGCCATGAGCAGTGGGTGGGTTTACTTTGCTGACTTTGGTTAGCAGCTGAGCACTTCAACAGGGCATCATCAGTGCTCCTGAGTTTGTGTTAGTCAACAAAACCACCGAGGAAGCAGACACCCGAGATTTCATGGAATCCAAGAAATACCTATTGTATGACAGAGGAGCAGTTACTAGACAAATTAAAACTGACAGTTGTCTCACAGTTTCCTCAAACTGTAAACCTTAAAGAAGAGGACAAAGGTTGGCCACCAACTTCATGGGGAGAGGCCATTGGAAGGCCCAGAATTCACCCACCCAAGGAAGTGGCGGGGGTGGGGTGGGGGAGGTGGTTGCATCCAGCCTTCTGAAATAGGTTCAAAGATGAAAGTCTCTTTGGCTTTCTTAATTTCAGGTACTTTTCAATTCTGAGTTTACTTCCTCCAAAAAAGGCTGCTTTATGTTTTCTGAATGCCTGTACTGTGCATTGCCCTGCTCTCTGATGGTAAAGACTAGATCTGGAGTCAGATTAAGTTTCCAATCTTGGCCCTCGGGCTTGGACTCCAGCAGGCTTATCTTCTAGATTGTTTCTTTCCTTGTACAAGGGGCATAGCAATAGTAACACCTTTGGTAAACAGCTTCTCTCAGGATTTACTTTCATGGCTTTTGGAGTGGTTAAGGGAGCTCTGGTTGTGTAGACTGGAGGGAGCTATGTTGTTGACCAAAGGTGTGACTCAGTGCTGGTTCAAATTTCATTTGCAAATGGCTCTGCAGGAGAATGAGGGACAATTTCTTCCCATGACATTTACAGCCTCAGAAGATCTGCCAGAGGGTTAGTTAGGAGTCCATTCTGACTCAATGGCAATAAATTGAGTTTTGAGATTGATTAGTTAAGGAACTCTGCTGGCCTATAGTGCATGGCTCCTGTGGCCTAGTGGTTCCAGAATTGTGCTGCCAACCCCAAGGCATGCAGTTTGAATCCACCAGCTGCTCCTTGTGTGGAAGGTGGGTAATCGCCTCTCTTGTGATTTACAGCTTCTGAAAACCCATTGGAAAGTCAGCTATGAGTTGGTTCTGACTCCATAGCACATAACAATTAAAAGGTCAGTGACTGAACACACCAGTGGCCCTGAGGGAAGAAGCTGTGCAGCTGCCTCCTGTAAAGATTTACAGCTTTGCAAAGCTGCTATGAGTTTACGGTAACTTGACAGAAACCGGTTTGCTTCATTTTCTGTAGTGGTTAGTGTGGTGCCTGTCCCGCTGTAAGGGAGTGTTGTATTAAATGTGTAGTTTATCTCGAGTGCATGCCTTGTTTTCCAACTTGACTGCATGGCTTATAAATCAGTCAGCATAGGTCAATAATGAGAGATATAACTAAAGAACAATTTAAGGCTAGATTGTAAGGATCTTAACTATCATTTCCCCAGACCTGCTCTGGATCTACTTTCCACTCAAGTCAACGCACTCAGTTCGCTGCAGTTTGATTCTCACTCATAGCAACCCTCCATTCAGTTTCTGAGGCTATAAATCTTAACAGAATCCCCCTCTTTCTCAGAGTTGCTGGCAGGCTCATATCGGCTGAGATGGGAAAGGCCTTTGGGTTAGCAGTGCAACATGCTATAGAGTAGGTCACCAGAGCTCTGTGCCACTCTAGTATGACCTTTAAAGCCATAAGTGTAGTCACTGCCCCCCCCCTTAGCTATAGCCAGTCAAGTGTTCAGACAGTTGGCCAAAGACTGTCATGTACAAGAGGGATGGTCACGGTATTTAGGAGCAATATATACTGTGTTTAGGTACTTCTCTGGCTATTGGGCAATGAGTCATTGTTATTTCCTCTAACTCAAAAAGCAATGTACACCATCCTCCATTTAAGCTCCTCTCATGGTACAAAGATGAGCTAGATTGCATTTCATTTCCTTATCTCAGAACCTACTGTCCCAGTTGGAATATTACATTCACACCCAGCTCAAAAGTCCTCTATATACTGAAATACGCCCTTAAAAAACCCAACTTTCTCAGTTTTACTTCTCCAGTATTCCCTTCCCCTCAGCTGTTTGATTTGAATTACCTAAAAACAGCAAAGAATAAAGCTTAATACTAGCACATGTTGACTCCTCTCTTCTGTGGAATGCTGAATCCAGCAACTGAGAGTTGGCAAGGCTGGGTTTCCTTACCAGTTGGCGAAAGGGGGGGGGAGGCATTTCAACCTATTATGATTTGAATGTGGGGCTTAAGGAATTTTAAATAGTTTAATCACTACAAAGGGAATTCTGGTGGTCTCCCTGTGTTAAGCTGCACTGCAATCCCAAAGCGACAAGGTTCAGGTTCAAATCCACCAGCTGGTAAAGGGGGTGGGGGAAAGGATGGGCATTCTCCATCTGTGCTATTTACTGCCCCTGAGAACCCTCTGAGGGTCAGCTGTAAGTCAGTTCTGATGGGACAACCACAACAACAATCATCACAAGAATGATTTAGACTGACCACCACTGTTATGAAGCAGGACTGGTGGTGGAGAGAAACTAGGAAAAGAGTGGATAGAAAATGAACACTGTATTGGAACAGATGAAGGAAAGAACTGTTTAAAAGGAATGCATGATTAGGCATTATATGTACAACAACAGTCCATAATAAGAAGTGCATTGCAAACTGAACTGGGAAAGGGAGGGGAGGGGCAGAGGGAGGAAATTATGCAATGAATGAATATTTTTAAAAAGTGAACTGGGGGAATGGGAAGACAGGGAGAGGGAGAGGGAGCGAGATGTGCAACAATGAATGAATGAAAAACCAACTTTCCTGTAAGTTTTCATTAAATCACAATTAAAATAAAAATTTAACAGCAAAAAAGTATTTGGAAAGGTTGTCTAAGATACTCTGGTACTCACCCATTCATTGTTCTGTAAATAATATTTCTTTATCTGTAGCCAACTCTGTTGCTTCCTTTTTTGTGTTTTCTCAATCCATTCCCATTTTATCTTAGCTTCCATAAGTTAATTTCAGACTTTTTTAAGTCCAATTTTGTCAGCATCACCTGCAGCTCCACAAAAACTCAGATTTTTGTACAATGTTATGAAAAAGCTCGCAACTGGATTCCAAAATGACAAGTAGTGTAAATTACCAATTACAAAGCAGTGTATAGTAATGCGCTGTCAGCAATAAATAAAAATGGCTTTTTCAGAGGAAATAACTTTAGAAAAGAGCGAGAACTATGCGAGAGCAGGAGACAATCTTTGCTGCTAGAACAAGAACCACTGAGGGAGGCATCTTAGAGATAAGGGAAATGGGCCCATATAAGAAAGCCTCAATCCTCCACAATCCTCCAAGGATTAATTTGCAGACGTTTGTTTTACAGACTTGCCCTCATAAACATATACCTCCTTTGCGGTCAATTCCAGCTCCTAAAGATTCTGTGCGACTGCGTAAAGCGACCCTGCATGGTTTCCCTGGCTGCAAACTTTTTCTGTGCGCATTTCCAGGTATTTTTCTCCCGGAGCAGTAGGTGAGTTCTGTCTACCCTTTCGGTTAGCCCGTGAGCGCTTAACCATTGCATCATCAGAGCTTCTTGCCCTACAGATAAGGTGTCTGGCCCTTTGTTTTTGAAGGATTGCTCAGCGTGCATCGTTGAAGGATTACTTTGTGCCGAGCGCTGTGCAGGGATCGTTTGCAGAGTACAGTCCTGCCCTCAAGTGCTTCTCCTTCTTTACACAGAACATGCTAAGCAGCAGGTCTAAAGGGCCCAGGGCCGAGAGGAGCGCGAAGCAGCAGCGAAGCAGCCAAATACGGAGCCACAAGGCTCCACAGAAGTGGGCTATGAGTTGAAGGACACTTTATTAGGTTTTTGTGCTCTTCAAACCGGAATAAGAGAAATAATCCAGAAGAGGAAGAAAGAGTTGGGCTGAAGGATGAGATTTTTTAAATTTAAGGTTTACAATAAGTTTTCTCCAAGATTTGCACAGACAAATCCCCTGAATTTGTCAGGAAAGGATCCCGACATTAGCCTGTGTGGAGTGACTTTTACAAACTCGCCTCTTCAGCATGCAGTGAATGTCGCTGCTGTTCTTGTGACAGGCTGGGAGTTCGCCTACTTATCTCAGATCCTGTACACAACAGGAGGAGGTGGCAATTTCACGGTTCCGATGCCTGTCCTTCCCTCCTACCCCTGCGGTTATCAAGAGTGCGTTTACCAGCAGGGATTTCAAAGCCTCTTTTGATGAAGGGAAGTAATAAAAGCATTTAAATTAGCGGGAAGGCGGTTAGCACCCGCAGCCCGGCCCACTGCACACCTCGCAGCCCGGCCCGGTTAGCGCCGCATGGGGCAGCGCAGCGCCGCGGGCAGGATCCTAACGGCACTAACGGCCGCGGGCCGGCCAGCAACGGCTCCCTCCCCCGCCGCGCGCGGCGTGCGTTGCGCAGCCGAGTCGGCCAGGCTAGCCGCTAATTCTGAAGGTGTGGGGCGCTAGGCGAGGCCGGGTCGTGGGCGGGTTCTAACGAACAGCCCTTCTGGCCAATGGAAGACCTGGTCGGCTTTGGTGCCTGCCAATAGGGTGCTGGAGTCCGACTGGGGGCGCTTCCCGCGGGTGGTAGCAGGATTTGATCCTGAGAGACAGCCGTGAAGGCGGGGGCGGAGGCTGGGTCTGGGCGGCGGGGAGCGGATTTGGGGAGGAGGGAAGACCGGAAGCCGCGGGCTTGTCCCCATCCTTAGATTCGCTCCTCCGGGCAGGGAGCGGAGACGGAGACGGAGGCGGGGGGAAAAGGCTGAATGTTGGGTCGTTAATAAAGACGAGCATCCGCGCCGGAGTACCCCCCAGCCCCGTGGCTCTACCTCAGCCCAGTCGCACTCACTCAGCACCTCGGCTCCCGGGTGCGCACCCCCGCGGACGGCCGGACAGCCCCCGATCTACGCAGAGGCGCTGCCCGCAGCGGGACTGACCGGCCGCAACCGAGGCCCGCGCCCTCCCGCCTGCACGCAGGGCCCCTCTGCTCGCCGCCATGTCCTCCTCCTCCTCCTCCCCGAGGGAGACGTACGAGGAGGACCAGGAGTACGAGAGCCAGGCCAAGCGCCTCAAGACGGAGGAGGGGGAGATCGATTACTCGGCCGAGGAAGGCGAGAGCCGCCGGGAAACGACGGCCCGGAGCGGGGGCGATGGCGGCAGTGGCCGGAGCTTCTCACAGCCGGTAACAAAGCGTGGCGCCCCGAGTGCTGTGGTGGAGGCTCCCCGGGAAGGAAGGGCCCTGGCGGCGCGGACTCGGGCCTGCGGGCCGGCTCGGGGCCGGGGGCTGCCCGTATCGCGACCCCAGCCCGGCCTGGCGGAGAGGGCGCGGGGCTCCAAGCCTGGGCGGGTGGTCGCGAGGCGGGGCTGCGGGGCGGCGCGCCGGGCGTTGGAGGGAGACGCGCTCTTTGTTAGTTTGGCGGCCGGCGCCCCCAGTCTTCGTGCCCGCCGCGCCGGCGCGGGGTGGTCGGGGTGCTGTTCCCCTGGGTCCCCGGGGGCGCCCTGCCCGCCTGGGCCTGCGGAGCCTGCGATGTGACGGCAGAGTCCGCTCGGACACGCACGTCCTCGTTTCCTAGAAGATTTCCTGTCGGAATTTCTCCTCTGCAAGCATGACGTGTATGCTCGCTCTGTTGGTTTTGTGTTTAGTGCACCATGCAGTTTAAGGTCCCCGGGTTTTAAAAAAAGGTGTGCTGCTACGCCCCTACCTTCAAGTAAGACAGACCTTAAAAGCATCTCCGCTCATTGGCAGCCTAGTGCAAGTTTGCCTCTTGAAAGGAGGCGCTGCACTCGGGGCTGCGTTAAATGAAACTTCCTCGATTCCTGGTTGTCATCAGAAAATCTTTGCTAAAAGCAGAAGGAATAGGAAATACGTTTTATGCACAGCAAGTCGTTTTAGTCAAGTTTAGTCGTATTGAAAGCACGTATTTAACTTTAATTCTGGGTGCACTTTAACTGTCTTCAATGGCTCAGATGCTCTTTAATCCTTTCACATCCTTCGTGACTAATTCAAATAAAAGAAAATAAAAATTTACGGAATTGTACATACAGTCTAGTAATATAGAAAAAGGTTTTCCATATGATGTTTTAGAAGAAAAAAGTTTTTAGCTATTGTATGAATTTTTGTTTAGACGTTTCCTCAGTGGTGCTCCACTTGTTTCCAAGTATACCTTGCAACACAATTTTAAAAAGAAACCTTTTCTTCCTCCAAATAGTTTTCTTACAGTCTAGGTGTTTTAAATTTTGTGCTTAGCCATTTGTAACATTCAAAATGTAATGTGTAAGTGTGAATAAAGGGAATGAAAGCCAACTACATATCTTTAAAAGTTCTGAAAACAGGTAAATTGAAGTCATCATTTAGGTGTGTTTAATCAGTATGCTTTTTTGCCAAGTCATGTGCGAGTTTTTGTGTAACAGTGTATTTTATAGTATCTTGGATAGAAAGATACATATTTAAGTCAGGTAGATTACAAGAGTTTTAAAAAAACCAACAACCCTGGATAAAATAGTAAACCAATAGAATTGCTTTGAATGGTGGCTAGACAATAATATATAATTAATATATTTAAAGACAAAATAGTGGAAAGAGCCCTGAGCAGTGTTTGGAGAGAAGGTCAGGAAGTGGTAGTAACAGGTTACCACCTCGTGGGAGGTTGGTTGCTTACTGCTCTGAATTCTCTTGGGCTGTAAAACACGAAATATTTTCCACATCTGAAGTTGTAGTTCAGTAGTTAACATGATGCAACCTTTAAGTTACCTAGATAGAAATAGGCCGATTATGTTATAAATTTTACTTTTTGTTTCTCTCAATGCTCGTCTGTTTCCTGGGGAGGATAAATTATAAATGCTTTTGTAAAAAAAATGTTTTTGTGGTCAGCTGTCAGAATAAACGTAGATTAGGTAACAACGATGAACAGCTTTTTCAACTGTAGTGAGAAGTTTGCATACTAAAAGGTAGGGCTGCAAAAATTTATATTTAGCAAAAGCTAATATGATTTTATGATTAACTTTCCCTAAGTGCTTTAATAACACATTAGCTAGGTTTTAAAAAGGTGAGCATTTAAGAAAAATTGAGTTGTGCCAGTTACCAGATGCTGTGGAGTGTATTCTGACTCATGGCCACCCCATGTCAGCTAGAACTGTGCTCCACACTGCTTCTGAGACACCTCTTGGTGGACTCGAGTCTTCAACCTTTCTGTTAGCGTCCAAGTTCTTTGAACATTCGTTCATACCTCCATCTTACAAATAGTCTTAAGAATGATTCTTGTAAATGATGGTGGTATTTTAGGGTGTAAAGAGAAGAGAGTTAGTACTTTGTTGGTGTCAGGTGCCCTGAGTTGGCTGTGACTTGTAGCCACATATTAACGACAGATCTGAACCTTGACCAGGCTCGTGCCATCCTCATGATCTCTATTCTGCTCCAGCCCACTGTGGTCGTCACTGTGTCAGTCATGGACGGTCTTCTTAGCTTATTGGCTGATTCTCTATCTTTCCCAACTTTAAGGCTCTAAGGACCAATTCCTCCTGAAAATATGGCAGAGTTTGGGAGATGAAGTTTCATTATCCTTGGTTGTAGTACTTAAATTTTAGAAATAAAACCTCTTCAAATATGTGTTTTCTGGCACTTTGAGAAGTAAAAGATTAGAGTTTAGATTTGTTTTATTTTTTAAATGATATTTTGTTTATACAGATTTGTGGTGTATATTACACACATTTTTCTATTTGTTGTTGAGTATCTTTGACACAGCAAAACCTACACCCAACAATTCCTACAAGTTCAGTGACACTGGTCATGTTCTGTAAGTTGTGATCACAGTCACTCTGATGTCTTTTTTGATTTTTTTCCTCATTTGTACAGTTTGATCACATGTAGTTAAAAGAGCATAATATGAAAAGCAGACATTTTTTACTATTTAAGCCAAACTGTTGTGTGTTTTTTTTTAAACTAGTAGTTTATATAGTTAGATATTTTTATACATTTTGTTTACATAGTCCATGAGTTAAAGGCAGGGCTTCAGAGGTTTTTTTTTGGCTTAAGGTTCAATGAATATCTTAAGGTAGTTTGGTTCTTTCAGCCTCTCTGGCTCCAGGAAATAGAGAGTTCTTGAGATTTTACTTTATATGGCTTTTATTCTTTTATTATCAGGATTCTTTTATGAAATCTTTACTCAAAATGTTCAGTGATTGTAGCTGGATACAGTCCACTTCTGGTCTCAAAGCAGAGGAGCAGTACTTTATTCTTATGCCACAAGTGGTGTGTGCTTGTATATTTAGCAGACACGACTTTGAGTATCAAATTGCTGATGAATTTTCTGTATGTGAGTGCTTTTAAGAAATCAACTTGACTTTCAAATGTTAGGCTTCGTTTGGTAAAATCAAATGAGGAATTGAATCTGCTTTTATGAAGGTTAGTATCTGGCATTTATGGAGTGCTGGTTCAAACAGATGGGTTAACACAGTGACTGCAGCAGTGGGCTTGAGTGTGAGTATGGTACAGTGTTTAGATCTTGTTGCTTGTAGGGTTGCTTTGGTTGTACTTGACTCGATGGCACCTAACAAAAACAAAAGTTCATTTTAGGGAGCTCTGGTAGCCCTAGTGTTAAGGAGTTAAACAGCCAACCCTAAGGCATGTGGATTGAGTCCACTAGCTGATTTATGGGAGAGAGATGGACATTCTCTTCCCATGCAGGTTACAGCCTCTGAAAATGTACTGACCAGTCACATCTGAGTTGATTCTGATTCCATGGTACTTAACAGTAACAACAGTGCATTTTTGCAGGAGGCCTGGTGGTATAGTCCATAAAGAGTTGCACTGCCTACCGAAATCCTTTACTTCTCTTGCTATTTGGATATATCTACCAGCTGTTCTGAGGCAAAAAGATAAGCAGTCTCCTGATATGTAATTTACAGCCTCCAGCCTACTGGAGGGTCTAACTGAGGATCAGAAACAGCTTTAAGGTAATGAGTGAGTTAATTTTGGAGTTATTCTTTCATTACGTTCTTTGGAGTAAACAAAGTCCCATAGTGGCTTGTTTCTTGATCTGTTGTTGTTTTAAATTAATAGGCTTGTAAAATGGCAAGATGAAAATGGAAAACTAGGATTTCCCGAGAAATGAACTGGTTTGAATCCAAATGAAACACTATTACACCTGTAAGATTTAAATTACAGAAATGATAGAAGTATTATGGTGGTTAATGAGATGAATATGGCTTGGGAAAAGAATTCTAATGGCACTGAGGTCAAAGCATTCAGCTGGTAACTCAATAGTGGGTGGTTAGAATCCACCCACTGCACTGTGTATTGCTCTGTGCACAAATGAGGAGGCAGTCTACTGCCCTGAAGATTCGGAGCCTTGGAAATGTTGTTAACAAAGTAGAACCCTTATTTACAGGGTTGCTGTTAGTAGAAACCTATTTCATGGTACTAGTATTAAATAAATAGGGTGGGAAATAGGTTGAGGTCAGTTTGTTAGCTTAGCACACAGGAGAGGTTTAGAGATAGTGAGCTTAGTAACTGTGCTCTCAGGAATAGAGTTAAAATGTGTGGTCCAGGTAGAAGTGCCTGAACTGTGTTGCAGATTCTATACCTGCATTTTTCTGTGCATTTTCTTAAACAACTGCTGTAATATAGTGAGGATTCTTTAGTCTTTATTTTTCAGGTCTAGTTTTGAGGGAAAAAGGAAAAATAGTAGATTTTACTGTCTTTGGGCTTTAATGACTAACAGCTGTTTCTTAGCGAGCCCTGATAGCACTTGAATATTAACTAAAAGATTGATGGTTGCTCTTTGGGAGAAAGGTGGTGGTAGTTTGCTTCATAAAGATTTACAGCCATTGAAACACTGTGGAGCAGTTAGTTCTACTCTGTCCTGTAGGGTTGCTGTGAGTTTGAATCTGCTCAACAGTCATTTGTGTAGATTTTTTAGTTTTTTTGTTTCTTAGTGGGAATACATATAGTGAGAGGAGCAGTTTATAGAGCCAGAAGCACAACCAAGGCAATTATCTTGACTCTGTTACCAATAAGCTTTGTTACTTCACCAATCTGAGCCTCAGTTTTCTACATGTCAGATAAAATGGGTACATCATGTGCTGCTAGGTGATGGGGATATAATAGTAAAGATTCTGTGATTCAGCATCACTTAGTACTTTTTCCTCCTCCATAAAAATGTGCACAACTTTAGGGTTTTCATT